CATATGTTTCTTCCCAGTCACACTACGCGGCTGTCTGAGCCCTCAGGAACATCATGCATAGGTACCTCAGGGACATATTGGAAAGCAGTTTCCAATTCACAACAAAACTTCAGTGCAATAATTTATATCCTTGGCTATAATTAGAACAGAATTTGGCTGTTAAATTTATTCTTCAGCAAGATCCTGTAATTAGTGCGGTTCTACATCTGTTCCTGTCCCTGCTCCATCAAAGGGGATATATACATATATACCATCGTGTCCATGACTGTGCAAGTAAGAGTACTGCTTCATGCTTGTGTTTTGACTTTGGAAGTGCCTGTACTGCAGAGTGCAGTAGGGTGAAATTCTACCATCAGTTTGACAAGCAGCATAAAACCATGTATACACTCCTTTATGACTGAAAAAAAAGCATGTAGCAATTAAATAGACCCCCAAAACAAACAAGAGAGCTATTCTGCTGATGTCTAGTTGCCGATGTCTAGTACACAGTATACAATCTATATGATATTTGTAGATACTGTCTGTAGAAGTATATAGGTGCCTCAGAGTCACCAGCAAACCTGCCAATGATGCATACCTCTGTATGTTAATAAACATAAAGCAGTAAGTACCCTACTCTTGCTTTTTTCATCAGCATGAGCTCTGTGTAAGCAGGGAGAGCCAGTCCTTCATGTGTTCGCAAGATGGTTTGGTGCCGTGCGTTTTTCTTCTCTTCACAGCATTTTTCGGTTTGGCTGTGTTCACCAGCACAACAGGAGTGGCTCAGATCAAAGAAGTAGGTGAGGAGGCCCTGACATCTATACTACGTGCAGTTTGGAGCGGGTTACCTCAGACTTTATGGTGATTTGAATTCATGCAGAAAACCAGCCATTGCACCCCTACCACCACACTTGGGTGCCAGTGCCCATTTGGTGTCTGTCCAGAAAAGAGTTTATGTTAGGTTCCTAAGAAAAGGACCTCATCTGCAAGCACCAAAACTGACCGTCATAAGAAGAGGGAGATAACTGCTTCAAAAAACACCCTGCTGCTCTGAACCAGCACACAAACCCAGGAGAAACCCCAAATCGTCACACCACCTTCAAGGAGCCACAACAACCCCAGTGCCCCCCTTTGCTCAGCCCACATCCCTCTCCCTGAGGCCATGGAGCCCCTTCCCAGAAGCCCAGCAGCTCCTCCAGGGCTGCCAGAGCTCGTCGGGGGCCGAGGGGTCGGGGAGAGGGGTCGGCAGCCAGCAGATGGCAGCAGGACCCCGTGCCTGGCCCCGGCCCCACAGAGGGGTCGCCCCCCAGTGCTCCCCGGGCCCGGTGCGGCAGGGTCCCCGCGGGCCGCACGGCGAGGAGTTCATCCCGGCCTCCGGGCGGGCGCTGCTCGCCGTGAAAGTCGGGTTGTTTTGCCAAAAGCTGACAAACGGCACAAATTTTCCGCTTTTGCCTTGTTTTCAACCGCTTCAGGCAGTTGGATGCTTTTAAGGACTTTTTGTGTGTGTGCGTGCTCTCGGCATGAGCCAGTGCTTTGCAAAAGTCGGGACAGCCCGTGGTTGATGTCGGAGAATTTTGTTGCATGTGTGATGTTGGACAATATTTTGTGATGTGGCTAACAAAAATCACACAACACAGGTACACCTAAGTATGATTGCTTAATATGATTCATGTTTCTCAAATCCCTAGTTTAACCATGCTGCAGCTTTGGAAAATTTCCATGGCAGGTGCGATCTAAGCCCCGTTTTGTTTTCCTGACTTTCACAATCTTTTATGAGAGATTGAGTCCTGCGATTATTTGATCCTACAAGCTTTACAGACGTGCTTAGATAGCAATCTGTAGTACTGCTACAACCCTCAGGACTGCTTACAGTGCATAACTTTCAAGAAATGCATTTTTCTTTAATCAACACTCAAAAGTATTTCTTTTGTCTGGTCATTTTCAATTATTTATTTTTTTCATGACTTTGTTTTTCAGGCTAAAAAAATGCTTATTACTGTCATTTTTTTTGTAAATGTTGATTTCCAAAGAAGGATTGATCAGTTAAGTAAAGAAATAATTATAAACCAGATGAAAAGCACTGGAATAGCTTTGAGTTTTTCCATTAAAGCTATTGTGAATTTTGCATGGTTATTATCTAAGAAAGGAATGGAAAGAAAATAAGAAGAAATAAATCCTGCTGTAATATAAGTAACTCAGTACCAACCAGCATTTTACTCAACACTTTGTACCCTTCACTGGTTTTCAAAGCATTATCAAGTTCATATTCCAAGGTGCTTTCGGATTTGCTGAGTTTCCTGTTTAAAAATCATTTTTAATGTCCACAAACCTTCAGTTTTTATTTCTTGATTGTCTTTCAAGCAGTGTATTCTGTACATTGTAAAAGGATTGCTAATCAAAGTACTTTTGAGATGATTAATGGTATGTGCTTAGGGATTGACAAGTTTCTTCTGAAAGAGCCATCACCTAGAGTTGCAGTGTGGATAGACTTCAAGCTGTCATTCCTTCTTTCCTTGAATGATTTTATGTCATGCAAAATGCCACGCAATGATAGCTGCAATGACTAATTTGCCTGTAACCATGCCTTACAAGACTGAACAAGTAGATAAACAGGGGAGAGAGCCACATCAATGAAGCGGTGCTTCTCTCTGCTATGTCCTCCATAAAGAATTGTCATCAAATTTTATGAGATAGCCAACTTCCCTTAGACGTGGAGACTGTCATCGCCTCATGGCTGACAGATCACTTCTAGTTGGTATAGGGAAAGAAATGTAAACTCATGAGTGTCCAAAGGGAGAAGATGCAGAAACCCCCTACTGAACAATGACAGTAATAAAACAATAGCTCCACAGAGATGCTAGGTTTTCATGCAAATAATAAAAATGGTAAATAACATAGCTCAAAGGATGTACTTTACTGTTGCTCAGTCACACACAAGAAGTCAAGCCACCTCAGCATATGGGTACTAAGAGTCAGAAAAAGGTAGTGTACAGTTATTCTGTGCTAGAAGGTCAATGCCATAGACCACAGATGAGCCGTATCTACACAGAAGCAATAGCATCCAATGTTGCAGCATAGCTCCAAACAAAAATGAATCCCCCTTTCTAAGCAAGTTTGAGAATGATATGATTATTAAAACAATTTAAATGAGCATCTAAAATATTATTTGTGTAAGTTGATTAAAAAACAGCATCATTCAGATGCTAGTAAATGTTTAGTCTTTGTAAGTTATACTTCTTTTCAACACAGCATGGTTAAAATACTATATAAAAAAAATGAAATACAAGCTTTCTTCTTCAGTTACTGAGAGAAAATCAGATCCTATCAACAATTTAATTCTTTCTTGTATTATAGTTGAGTGGGCAAACGCACACACCAGAGCTTGAAAAGCAGTAGATGCAGGTGCTGTTTATCAGCACAGCACCATACCGGAGCCAGTATGCTTTGTTAGGAAATAGTTACTGCAAGCACAGTTCTTCACGGTTACTATTTCAGTGTTTCCGTGACCCTATGTAGTTTTTCTGCACAACAGCGTGCTGCATCATATTGCTGTGCTAATTTGCTCAGCACTGGCTCACCAGGCTGCATACAGCTTCACAGGCATGCTCTGTGTTGCAACTGCTTCCTCCAAGCAAACTGCACGTGCCCTGTGGGAAAGCCTTCAGGCTCTGAGACTCTGCCTGTACTAAGATTTTTCAGTACTTAGAAGTTGCAGATGGTTAGAACAGGTTACAGCTCAGAAATCACATTTTCTGAGAAATCTCACACACATCTCAATTTGCTCCCTTTTAGAATGAAAACTATTATAATACTGCCTGGGAAATAGGCATTCCAGTAACAATTTCATTTGGGAAACAATGATTCACAGGACTCCAAAAAAGTAACAGTTTTGTCCAGTGCACTGGAGCCCTGAGCCCCAGGAGGTCCCTGTATTCCCTGGGTCCCCAAGACAAGGAAGAGGTCACCATACAGGAGAAGAGCTGACAAATGGAAAACTGGCAGCCAACCCACCTAACAGAGACCCATCAAAAGTTATCTGTATTGCATTATAAGGCTTTCTAAGATAAGCTTTCATGAAATGTTTCATTCTCAGCGAACCAGCAACTTTTGACAGAAAGCATTCCAGCTGAATGGCGTTTCCAAAGAGATGCATTTGGAGCTGATGAAAGCATCTCAGGCTTGGCTAGCTGATTGGCACTAGTTAGGTACTACAAATCACCCTCCTAATACAACAGCCCTTGGGTCACCTTCTTCTGATCTCCCAATTGCAGCTTGCACTTGCTTCAGCAACGCCACATGTGAACACTATGATCACAGCTACTTGTTAATGTATTCGTGCTTGGACAGAGAGAAGCTCTTGGACTGAGATTTTTGCCTTCTATCTTGAAGGCTTATAGTTAAATACAGATTACCAGGCTGCCCAGAAATTCTCCTGAACTAACAACCTCAACAAGGATTCTGTCTTTTTCCGCACGGTCCCTACATCATGGCAGTGGACACTGTGCAAGCTGTAAGAAAAGATTTCCCCAGGCAATTCAACAATTCAGTTTTGGAAGACCTGTTCTTTTCAACAGCCTCATACAGGTCTTTTCTTACCAGAGGAAGGTGTGCTTTAGGTACATCACATCAAAAGTACATTTGGACTACTCTGAACTGTGGAACAGGGTCCCTGCACATCTTTTAAATAAACTTTAGTGCAGGAGATACCTAACCAATCCTTATTAACTCTGTGATTTCTCCCATATATTTACTCTAACAGTCATCCTCAAATCTAGACTGTTGTCTTTCTTTTTCATTACAGAAGTAGCAGACAGTATCACTTACTAGTAAAACTGTCTCCCTTTTTTTTTAATTTTTAGATCTGCTTTGAGTGCTTTGTACTTTTGCCAGTTTTTAACTGTTTGGGCTGATATATACTATGGTAGGTGTTTGCCTCTGGCAGTGGTTTATGGAAAAAAGTATAGAGGCTATATAAAAAGCTGTATACTGTATGCAAAGAATGTGACAGAAATGAATTCACATAGGCAGTCTTAATTCTGGCATTTTCTAAGTCATGAAAGTTTTATTTTTCTGCCTTAATAAAGCTTTGATTTTGTGTATGCTTATGTGTTAAATATTTCGTACACAATAAATCACTGGCAGGTTACCACCTACCAAAACTCCATGGCCCCTACAAAGGTAAACATTTGTAAGTATGGTATAGGTTGGACTAAAATGTTGCAACTACTCTTGGTACATCAAAGGGCCTTGAGGGAAATAAGATGGTGGTTAAAGAAAACATTTTTAAAAGCTAACACAAGTGAAAAAAAAAAAATGAGGAAAAAGTTCTGGATACACTAAAATCAATGGTAAAGCACACAGAGTTATAAATGGTGTAAGTATTTCATGTAGAAAACCAAAGTAGGAAAAAAATCTGGAGCTAGTTGGGTGCATGTTTAGATTCTTTACCTTTAGAAGTCTTCAAATGTTTTTATTTTTTCTAGAACAAAAAACATATTTGGGTTAGTAGAGTGCATTTGTGTAGAGGTTTCTGATTTGTGCTATAAACAAGATCAGAATAAGAGATCTAACATCTACTTCCAAGCCTCTTCCTTGTCAATATGGAGGTAGGAAAAAATGGGCAGCTTTACATGTTGCTTCAGTTGCTGGATTCTGTTAAGATTATTCTTCCTGAAACAAACAACAACAACAGAATTATATCAGAAATCATGTACTGAAGATTTTGGAAAGTTTTGAGGAAAGTTTCTTCCCCTTATCAGTTTATGTCCACCAGTCAAAAACAATATGTCAAACACTGGCCAACAATGAAGAAATGAAATCTAACCAAGATAAACTTAGTTTTAGACAAATGTACAGCTACTGTTAAAAATGTGGACCTGAACATGAAATTCAAAATTTCAAAAAATTTAGTATTACCTGTATTTTACTAATGCTGAAAAAATCACCATTCAGTCTCGAGGCTGTCAAAAAGAACAAAAAAAAAATATTTTTTTTTCCACACAACTTATAGTAATACAAATCCAAAAAGAAAAGCTACAGAATTGTAAGAAAGACAGGAACGCATCTTGGTTCTTTTGTGTTTATTTATTTATATATTTTTTTAGGGCAAAAATAGGAATAATTGCTATGGCCATGCTTTTCCTCTCTTTTAGTTCATGAGAATTTCCTGGTTTCCAGACTAACAAAGGGAGAAACAGCACAAGAGTGATACCATGGAGCATTTATGTGTTTCCAGTTCATCTAAGAACAACTGAACACACCATGAAGTGCTTCTGCAAAGATAGTCACCATTGTACCAGCTGACAGGTAAGACCTGTGCATTTCTGAGTACAAGCCTAGATGATGATGATGATGATGATGATGATGATGATGATGATGATGATGATGATGATTATTATTATTATTATTATTATTATTATTTTATTATTATTATTATTAAATAGAGAGTGAGGGCTATTCTGGAAAAGACAAATAAATTAAAACTATTTAAGCTGCTAAATACTGTAGACTTCATCTTCATTTACACCATGTGAAGGAGGTTTACTACAGATGTGAATCAATTGTTTTGAAGAACACAATATATATTCTACAAAACCACTTGCAACAAACAGATCTTGTATTAGCTTGTCTTAGTGCCTTTCTGTCAAGTAAGGAGAATTCAGTTTTCTCTTCTAGAGACAAACTACACTCTTGCTGTATTAAAGAAAAGCAAATTAGCTTCCTCAGTTAGTAGTTTAGATTTCTGCACAGGAACTCAAAAAGTTATTCTCAATAATGCTCCAGTGTCTGGTGGTCTCTCAAATACCCTTTGTAAACAGTTTACATTGATCTTTGCTCCAAGCTGTGAGATGTTTATGGATCTTTTTTCAGTATGGCTATTTGCCCACCATCAAGACCCAAGGCCTTATTTTGGTAATCCTAAAAATAGTCTAGGATCAATTACAAAGACTTTTCTCAACAATGTAGTTTTAAAATAAATTTAAAGGCTAGGATTTGGGAAAAAAAAAAAAAAAAAAAAAAAAAAAAAAAACATTAACAGTCAAACTGGAAATGTTTCAAACACCGATTGATCAAGACCCAGCTGAGTTTATTCTACTCAAGATAGATTTTCATCAGATAGTCCAAGAAGAGTGTTTGTTTTGGCCTCTGTTTCTAGAAATAATATTAACCTGGCAATAATGCTGTTTCTATAAAGAAAAAGGCCGTTGAGCAGGCTAAGTATCTATATCTTTCCTCTCATGTAGTACATCAGTTTCCCTTACATCCTGTGTTTGGTCTGTATTTTCAGGAGATGTGTTACAGTTTCTGTGCTGTGGTTCAATAACCTATCTAGTCCTTAGAGGTACTTCCATGGCCAGAGTTTGTAAGAAGGTCATCGTCTTATGCGCATGTGCTCAGAACACATCTCTGACCTGCAGCAGTGCTCCCCTTCCTCTACTTTTCACCCATAAGGATCTGAATCATAGGCAGCTAAGGTGCAGATTTCCAGGAGTTTGGGAGACACATATCCTTTTACACTCTGAGTTGACATTTAGTTCTTTTGATATTTTTAGGTGGCTTTAAATGTCTAGCAACATGGTTACAAATGTCCAGTGGCAGACTTGGAAAACCAACTGAGATCTTCCAAACCCTAGTTTGACTCCTTCACCTCACTCTCCATTGCTTAAATACCAGTCTTTGTAGAATGTAAGACCCACGGTTACTAGAGGAAAAGAAGCCTATAAGAGAATAAACCTATGGAAATTTTCATTTTTAATGTAAGAGGATTACACTTTTTATTTCATATGAGCTTTAAAGAGGAAAAGTTGAATATGGTGTTGTAAAACAAGACTATCTTTGCTTTATTAGACAAGAACATACTCCCAAAATTGCAAATGTTCCAGGTTTCTGAAGTGTGTTCACATAAATGAGACATTCCTTTTGTATGTCTGCATTCTTGTCAATGAATTCTTTCTGCATAGGAAAGAAAAAGAAAACAGAATATGGGGAAAAATATGATGATTAAGATACTAAATTATTCTCTGAAAGTTCTATTACGCTTTCAACACTTCTTACCACTGGAACAAACCGTAGAGTTGGGTTTTCACTAGTAACAAATCAAATATGTATCATGTAAGTGAAAACAATGACTGCTTCAAAAATCACTGCATGCCAGTTGCTGAATTTACTTGGAATGTATATTTATATGTTTCAGAATTGCTTTCAATGTATGCTTTTCAAATTGTCTCTCTTCCAGCCATCAGCGTAATTTCAAGTTGTCTCAGTTACGAGAAAGGTGAACTAATGAAGAGATTTAAGAAAAAATGTGCTTTTATGTGCTTTCCTTCTGTGTTGTGAATTGGGCATAATCTTTGACTCAGTCATACATCCACATCCTGCCAGATCAGATGTATATAGAGCTTGCTGATTCATTCTTTGAAATAACTCTAAAATAGATACCATTTTTCTATGCGTCAAAGCTTGAAGCAAGGCTCTCACTTTGTATCCTTATCCTTGGTCTCAAGATGTGGTCTTTCCCCTGACATTTATTCCTTCTGGCTCAGAAGTTGGTTATTGCTTTGTTTGTTTGTTTGTTTGTTTCTAGGCCTGATGGTAGGTGATTTTGTTATTGTTACAGCTGTTTGTTTGTTTTGTTTGTTTGTTTTTATCACTATGTCTCTGCATTCCTCAGCTGGCACTGGCTTCACACTTATATCTAACACAAGCTGTTCCTCTTCACTTTCAGGACCCTCCAGGGACTCTCCATATTTACCATGACCTCTCTTTATGGCCTCATCAGCTCCCACCCCCTCTTTGCCCATTTATTAAAATTTCCAAGAGCCTTCATGTCTTATTCTTCACACCTGAAACTTCTAAAAAGCTTCTTCAAAAGTTGTTACTTTTTGTTGTTGTTTAATCAAATACAGCGCAGTACACGTACTTACTATTCTACTAGTGCTACCAGTATTTAGAAAGGTACTGTCTCTGACAGCTGGGGATAATCTAAAAGCCGCTGCAAAGAGATTTCATTTGAAAGTGAGCAAAAATAATACTGAAGAATGAAAAGAGTACACAAAGAATTTGAGCTGTGTTCAGAGATAACGTGAGAGACAAGAATAATTTTAGAGGTAAAAAGGGAGCAGAAACAGAAACCTCAGCATGAACAAGAAAGCTCAGAGTATAAACACCAAATTTCTTTCAGATACATTCACTTTGACAAGTACCTTATTTTGTAATTGTTTTTCGTTCAGGGAAAGGTCATGAATGAAAAGGTCAGCCTACACATGTAGTCAAGTGCTATGAAGAATAAGCAAGGGTACTGAAACATGGACAGGAGTAAGAAGATATCCTCTGGATCTCACAAAAGAGTCCTGAAATAAAATGCAAAATGGTAAATCAAGCAATTTTGTGTCACCAGTCATGAATCTCTATGTATTGAAAGGCAGCCTCCTCTCCTTGCTACATATGCTAGTCCCTCGCACTGACATAAACTGAATTTACCCACAGCAAGTCTCTTACTGCTCTTTTGGTAGTTCTGACACCCTTTTATGTCGTACCTGAATGAAATACATCTGCAGTCTTTCTAGTGTCTCTCTTCACATTGGTCAGTAACTTTAAGGAGAACAGGTGCTCATTTGCAGGTTGACAGCTTCTGGTCCTTGTCCACTAGGGGCTCCAATGTACGAGAGCCCAATGTACAGACTCCAGCTCTGTTCCATATTGGAAGTAAAAAAAGAGAAAAAAGAGAGACAAACACAGAAAAACTGTTTTTGAATAGAATTAAAAACTGAAAATATAATGTTTCTTCCATTCCAAAGGGTAAAAAACAGCTTTTTTGTTTGTTTTTCTCTTTTTGTTTCTTCATTAATTTTTTCATATGCACTGAAGAAGTTTTTAAAATTTTAGTGGGCATTTAGAATGTTTCTACAAACAGTTCAAGAATAAAGGCAAAGTCTTTTATTTCTTTTTTAATTTTTATTTCTATTTTGACATTAACATTGCAAACCATTTTTGATAGGCTCTGTTGCTTTCAGAGAATAGAAAACCCTTCCTAATTCACAAGCCCTCTCATTTCATTAAATGTACCTACACTGTGTTTTTATGGAGACCAATGAGAGGTGCTCACTTTTGGTTGTTCCAAATCTCCAAGCACAATCACAGATGTAACTCTGTCCAAGCACTACGGTGATTTGGGACACCACCTGGACCAGGCGTGTTTTAAAAAGCAGGTAGGTGAATAAAGTAATTGATAACATTTACAACTGCTACCACAATCACATATCAAAGAATATTAATACTAAGCTTCAGTCTAAAGAAGCATATTGAACTGAACACAGGTATGGGACAAGTACTTCCTTAAATGCTTTGCTGAAATAGAGCCATAAAACAGAACATACCCCTTTTCCAGAAGGTCCTGGACAAAATTGGTTAAGAGCTTCAAGCTATTTAAGCCTATTTGAGAAAATAATCTTCTCACCTTCAGAGAAAAAATACCAACCAAAGGGTCTATCATGCCTATCACATTTTTAAACTAGAAGAAACTTTTTTTTTTTTTTCAAAGGTAAACTACGCTATTTGAAATACTTCCTGCAAAAAAATTCACCGAGAAAACCAAAGCCACATCCTGCCTTAGTGTGTCCTGCAACAGCTCTCATATTACTACTGACATAGCTAGTACATGGGAACCCTCATCCCCAGGAACACCAAAGACTAGTAAAGCATTTTTTTCTGGCTGATACACTTTAGCTGTTGAATGATTGTGACTTCTGCTGATGAGTGAAAGCTTGTTTTTCTTTGCTGTCACAGGAAGCCCTATTGTAGCCAGTGGAAGGTTGTGTCACTGGTCAAGAATACAAATGTTTTTTGACAACTGGACATTCAAGCTATCATATAAAGAAAATATGACAGTATTTAATATATTAATTATAATCATATTCTAAAAATAATATGAACTGTACATTGCAACTGTACAATGTAGAAACTTGAGTTATTCAATGGAAGGGGAAGTGAGAATTCACTTCCTCTGACTAAAGTTAAAAAATACTAACAAAGCTATTCTAAAGTTCCTCTTTCATATATTATTGATTCTATTAAATTCAAATACAGCTTATATTCAACTTGTATTTTTCGGGAAACTGTACTGTCAACTTCATCTGGAAAACATTGTTAGCTTAATACATCTATCTATCTATCTCAGTCGACCACTCACTGTCTTATGTTCTTGTAAATCATGTGAGATGCTAGTCTTGAGTAAAAGTGATGCATGCAGCCAAAGGTGGGGTGATATCATTCCTCTGCACAGTGGAAGGAAAGTCTCAGCTTGGCTCTTGCATGGCTCACAGACATTTTGTTGCAGTCCAGCACCAACTACAGGCCATGGAGGGCTGCAGAAGAAGAGAGAATAGGTCAAGGTCCCCAGATTTTTCATAGCAATATTCAGAGCTCAGCTGTACCATACTTGAGCAGGGTATGTACTACCATTCAGATAACCTACAGTTTCATGGAGGAAAAATTGTATGGACTCAAGTGAAATTTAAAAGTTCCTCGGGAACCTTATTTATCAGTAGCAGTGTAGACTGCGAAGCATGAGCTGAGACCACAGCTGCAGTGTGTTAAGCTCTAACACGAAGCTTTTATTTCAGAATTTAACAAACATTGTGGTAGGGGAGAAATTGATGAATGTTTCTTTGTTTAACTATTGCCCTTTCTCTTACACAAACCTAACACTGTGTTCTTAGCTGGCCAATAAAGGATACCTGTATGGTATGACAAAGCCCTTAGCCTCAATTTTTAATATTACATGGACCTTTTCTGTTGACTCAACTTGCACTGCTAAGCCATAAGTTGCTTAGGCTCATTGGGACCTATGAGAAAGGACTGTCTGTGTACCCAAATTCCAAAACACTGATGCTCGTTTCAAAATACAATGTATTTTAATACTAACGGAGATCTTAAAATAGACATATGGCTTCCACTATTTGTTGCAGATATTTATTCTAAGGTATCATGAAACAGATACGTTTAAGGTTGAGCAATCCTAGAATATATTAAAAAGCAATAGTGTGGCTAAAGTGTTGTGTTTGTTGTTGTTGTTGTTTTAAGTTTGTCTAGCACTGTACGAGCTTTAGCGTGGTTTTTAAATATCTATATTATAGCAGAATTTAAATGCTTCATACATTCAAAAAACTGAAGGTGAAGTTATAACTGTGCTGCCCCCAATTGTAGCCATGCTAGGAAGAGGTTAGTAAATATTTTGCTTTCTGGGGTGTTGATATTTGTGCTGTCTCCACGCACACACCCCCTCAGAAGACAAGAAGCCTCACCTTCCTGCCTTTTTGCAGAAGCCTTAAATAAGGCCTGAAGGTATCTGGGTTAAGATGGTTGAGCAATCTCCATCTAAGTCTGCACTTTTCAGAAGCGTGAGCTGCTCTCTGAGTGCTCCAGACACTAATTCTGGTACTTCAGAGACAAATACTATTAGCAGCTTCTTTGGTTTCCATGAAGGTTAAAATTAGGACAGTGAGAATCATGATGGTGAGAAAATTAGGGCAGCGAGAATCATGAAAGTGAGGATCAGTCTGGGGGTTGAAACGGGATGATCTTTAAAGTCTCTTCCATCCCAAACCATTCTGTGGTTCTGTGATGGTCTCTGCAACCTACTGACTGACTGCTTAGATGGATACAAGTGGATGGGCATGTTAAGATCACTAAATACTGTTTTCAAACAGGACAGAAACTCAGCAGATATCTCACGTTTACTGAAGAAAACCAGTGCCATGGAAGTCCATGGGGATATCTGAATCCTGCTCAAGAGAGTCATCAGAACTTCAGTTTGTGTCCTCTGTGTCATTGCTGTCTACCAAAAAGCTTTATTCCATCGTCCTGTGTAGGTTAAGTTGATGTGGTGGTTGGCACTGTGAGACACGTGCTCCCTGTGAGTCTCCCTTCCTTGTGCTGGATTTCTGTCATTCCTTGGAACAACTGATAAGCAAGAGCCAGGTCACAGAGGACAAACAGCTACTAATTATAGCGGATACTGTAACTGCATATTGTGTAACTGTACTCTTCTGACTGTAATAATCAAAACTTTAAAGCTAGCAGGCAGAGTGGAAGACACATTAAAGGAAACAAAAAAACAAACAAACAAAATACATTTCTTAAACAAGATCCTGATGTCTAGAGGATGTCTTATGGCCATGTACCACTCCAATTCAAGCCCTAAGTATGAAAAAAGCCTGTTGGGAAACCAGTTTCTACACCAGCCATGTCTATAGTTTTCCATCCTCCAATGATCAGAGGCACAAGCTCTTGGACTGGCATTGGATTTGGAAGGTAAAGTAACAGCATCAGCCAAAATTACCTTTCTCCATATTTACCTCATCAGAATACTGTGCCTCTACCAAATGCCATGCTAGCAATAAATATTTGCTTCGGTCATCTACCAAGAGGGATCAATGCAGCATATCCTACCCAAAACAAATCCATTAAACAAACCAAATCACTTGTTAAATTCGTATGACTGAGCTAACTTCATATTCACTTCCCTTTGAGATGGAGCAAGAAGATGAAACTCCATCCATTTTCCCCAGTTTGCTTCCAGATTTAGTGAGGGACTTGAGGCAAGTTCTGTTCCCTACCTTGGACCCTTCTGAGAAGTAAGAGCCATACATCTACAACACACTCTGCAGAAACTACCAGGATCTTCTGCTGTAGGAAAAAAAAAAAAAAAAAGGTCTAAAGACTATTTCTTAAGTTTTCCATCAGTTTGTTAGACACACAGTTACGCTGATGGGAAATAAGTTAAGATTGTGCAAAACCTCCACTTCTCACTTCTTCATGTTATAAAAGAAAGCCCAGCTGGCATATAGTGCCACTTGCTTCATACTGTCCCTCACCCTGCACACACACTGCAACTGGCTGAATGCAATACAGTGCAGCTCTAAGCAACAGACATACTCACATAAACCACAGAGCCTCCTGTTGGCATGCAGTTACAGAAAAGCAAATGTATGTGCAAAACGATGCAGCCTAGCATCTGCACCTGAAAATGAAGGACAAGATTTTACCAGCTGCCGGAGGATTTTTTGGTACAAATGGCTCTGCACTGCACTTTATACTTTGTCATGTGGTTATTTAAATTACTGCATCTATAAATTAGTCCTAAGTTAAGGAGAATTGCCCATCATTAATAGTCCTTAGGAAATGTTAGAGAAGTATTCACAGCCCTAAAAGTAAAACACTCTTCTCATTTTACTTACAAGGCAAGTGTTGGACTAACTACTGAGAAAAAAAAAAAAAAAAAAAAAAAGAGTAAATACACATTTGGACATTGCAGATACTTTCTGACAAGCAAAAAATCATGACAATTATTTCCATGAATCTTACTGTAAAACACTGTAAAAGTATTTGGGAGGGGCAGGAGGGAGGATGTGGACAGATTTATTCTGAATCCTTAACAGCAGGGGGGGAAAAAAAAAGTGAAATCTCAAAATAAAATTATGAAGTTGCTTTCTGACTTTTCAGTCATTTCAGCTTGAGAGATACAGTGTCTCCTCAGAAGAAGAAATAGTTTATCTACTATTATATACCCAAAGTAAGACCACTAAGAGTTTCAAAGTCTTTTGATAAGCCTCCAGGCAGTGGGGTAAATATTACTGTTCATATGAATGCAAGCAAACAGCCAACATGGATCAAGTAAAGAAGAAAGTTTAACACAGGTACAATCAGAAGAGCTGTGTCAGAAAGGGCTCACATGCAAGTTATGCAAATTCTCACAGCTTGACTTTTGAAGGGAATAAACCTCAAATGAACATTCTTCTGTGTAAATCACATCTACAACTTTTTAACAATCAGGAAAAAAAAAGGGGGAGGGGATGTAGAGAAATAAATCATAGAATAAAGAAATGAGCAAGAAAAGGATTAAATGGCTAGAAATGAATAAAGTGCATAAGTCATTTAATTCTGTTAACAGAGCCAGGTAATCCCATCTTCTTTTGTCTTCAGATACCCTTTATATTCACTTCAGTAAGAATCTTTGCTTATATCATGCTCATTTTGTCATACATGTGAAATCTAACACACGGTATTAATAAAATCAAATGTCCAATTTAAAATGATGCTTCTCATTAAGCTGACTTTTGTACACACTGCTCTGAGCAATAGCAAAAAGCCTGTCCTGTAAAGTTGAAGAAATAATGTTAATAATAAATGCTGGCATTTTCAAATGAAAACCCTCAGGTTACCATTTTTGTTAATAACAAGTAGCATTCTCAATAAGTTAGATGATATTTCAGTTTTCTATTTAACAACATTTACAGTGCAGACAATTTCATTTTATCATAAGATTAATAAAACTAATAAACAAGATATCACTGTGCTTTTCCTACCACAGTTGGAATTTTTGCTAGATGCCCAGCTCTTGCTGGGAAGAAATGGGCCAACCTGAATAGGTAATTCTGAAGAACAGAAAAGAATAGGTAACCCCTACGTATCAGCACTCGCAAGAAATAGGGATGTACACAGAGTGATACTTAGATGTGGGACCTGGAAAATTGAGACCAGATCAAAAACTCATTGAACCAAGGGAAAAAAAGCATCACTGGGTTAAATTAAAGCCTTGGAAAAATGAATGGCATAAAGCCTAGACATGTAAATCATTGCCTGAACATATGGAGAGGGAAGCCACTGACTAACATGAGCCTCTACTGTACATAAAGGAAATACATAAAACAAGAAATTATCTTCAAATCCTCATAGTGTGCAGAATTGCAGTAATTAAGCTGTGATCATAAACTTTTCAAAGGTACTTCTGTCCTAATTTTCTGCAGTTAAAATTGTGAATTTTCTAGCTCCACTACTGACATTTTCAAATAGCCTGAGAATCTATTCTTCAGATTTTCATCCATGTACATGTTGTGTTTTGCTTTTGTTTTTTTATTTTAAGAACAAATTCATGTAAACTTTCCTAAAAAGAGTTATGGAGAGTAACTCTCAATTCTGAATGACCAACAGAAACCATTTAGTTGCTTTAGAAAAACAAACTTGCAGACTAGCTCTACTGCTTCTTATACTTTCTTGTCTTTCACAACACAAGATAATTCTTGACTTTAGCTCACTCTGATACCACTAACTGCATCTCAGCTTCAGCATTCCTGATAACGCAGTATCTCTGTAAGTGGATTTCTCTGGTTAGCTGGTGCATTGTTCCCTCCACTAAGGCAAATAATTATATTCCTCTATCCATTTAACTGCGGTCTCCTAAATTAAAAATTGTATATAAGAATCAAAAGGACAGAAAGATAGATGGACAGAAGGGCTGTTCTTCAGCCCTTGAGTTTCTGCTTCTTCCTTATTTATTTAGTTGGTTGTTGTGTTGTTTTTTTTTTTCATTTGAAGATTTATATGATGTATTTGTTAACAAGCTTCTGCATCCAATCCAATCCAATTTACTTAAATTTGTTTTACTGTGATTCTTCAAAAGCTATTTCTGGTAATTGCTTACATACAAACTCTCAAATGAGAGCTTTCCATCTTTCTCATAGGAAATTTTAATAGTTTACAGTTTCTCTGCATTACTGCATAATCACAAAAGAATATATATATATATATATATATATATATAACTGCAATAGAATTAAATCCTAATGGAAGAACACAAGACCTGTACTTGCTACTTGATTATCTCTATACCTTCTGCTTTATCATCTAGGAATATCCCAAGCAGAGATACAAAAATTTCCAAATGCTCTTACTTGACATCACAGTCTGATGTGGTGCTGTGATTCATTTTGCACAAATTGCAACCTCTTCAAGGTTTCCTGAAAAAAAGAAAAAAACCTGCTGTCTTAGTGAAATCTGGTATACTCCAGAGGATATTCCAATCACCATGCTAAAGATCTTCAACATGTCTACAAAGGGCTACTTCAAAAGAGGATACTCCATCATTTAGCTGATTAATGTATATATATTTTTTTTTATTTTTATTTTTAAATGTTGGCCAGTGGCACAGTAGCTTGGCAATATCTTATACTTTTGCAGCCACCTTCACATTGATAACAATGAGGTCTATGGGCTGATCATGCATTACTCATGGCAGGTAAGATCACAGTCAACACAGTGTCACATTTGCCCCGTGAGAAAATGAAGGTCAGCCTGAAAAGTGCAAAAAGTGACGTTAATGAAACTTAAAGAAGTGCACCTACACTAAAATATTCCATTTTTGCCAGTGGAGTTTTGGTTTCCCAACATTAAAAACATTTCTCTTTGTTCCCTTTGAAAACAGATGTTCTGCTTTAACTCTAATTTATCTTCTGCTTAATGGAAACTTACATTACAGTAAATGCAATCCACAAGGACTCTGCAGATTAACAACGCTCCCAGAGCCGAGGGTGTATAATGACAGCATATCTACCCAGCGATCTGCTCTCCAGTGATAAGAAAAGGAAAAGAGCAATTTGCAATTGCATGCGTTAAATCTTGAGTCATGCATCTGCTGTGAAACACACAATTGTTATGTGGGTGGGGAGCGTGCCTCTTCTTTCCATTACAAAACAAAAAGCATTTGGAGAAGAGCAGAAGGCAGAGTTGGAATTCGGGGGAATGATTCTGCTACGTGTTCATTTTAGCTGAGAACAGAGAAAACAAATTAGGAAGCATTACATATCTCCACCTGCTCTTGCCACAAACGTTGTCTTTCTCTAACCATATCATTAATCAGGTCCATATCTGCTGCAGCGTTTCCCTCACCACATTTCTTCCTTATGAACACATGACGGCCTCCACCCATCCCACTGGAGCACGATGCTCGTGCTCCTGAACGCAGCCCAAAACCTCAGACAGCATTCAAGATTTTCTGGGATTTCTATTATTTTCTCACTGTTCTCTCCTTATTTTTCTTTTCCTTGTGCTCTTCTCATCTCCACTGTTCCTCTCAGGGAGAATGATGCTCATCTGTCATAGCTAGGTAAAAGTAGAGCAGGAAAATACTAACGTTTGGCTTTCTCAGCTGTATTTCATGACACTTAGAGAAGGTAGCAATGAACAAAACAACACAGAGAGGAAACAAAGGCTCATTTGCATCACCAGAATAGATTTTTGTACATTATCATACAAATAACTTGGTCGTGTATCTTGGGAAGATTAAAATAAGTGAGAAACCACTAGTACGGTCAGGGTGTGGCCATATTACTGCTAGGTCACACGTAGAAGTGAAGTAACACTTTTTGGCAACAAAACGCACCATCAGCTATAATTCTAACACATGCGAAGCGTTTGCTCCAAGGTGCAGATTCCAAAATTGACCTTGGGATGATTTTAAAGATAAATATTTAATTGCCAATCTGCATTTTTAAATTACCTCTTTCCTTGGCACCGTAGTGATCCCAACAGGCAAAAGAGCAACTGCAAAGAACATCAGCAAAGAAAAAAAGAAAATATACACTATCCATGGGATCTTAGACTCCAAAGCTGCTGAACTTATATGAGTTTATTAACTTTGTGCATGATTTTTCATATGCTAGTACGTTTGCAGATTTGGATGTATTTTTTGGCCTGGCCCAAGATTTAGTTCATAGTTCAGCAAAGTCTCTGGTAAATTTTAGCCAGCTTCTCAATTAAACAGTGCATGGTGGTTTGTTTGTTTCTTTGTTTGTTTTTTGGGGGTGGTGTTTTTTGTTACTTTTTGCTTGTTTGTTTTTAAATAACAGGAGTAGAACAATGTGCTATTCCTTAAATGCATTCTTAAGTATGGCTGAACTGTCTCAGCTGGATTTTTTCAAAGCAATTACTCCTTAAAGCATTGACACATATTCACTGTGCAGAAGTGGGGGTAATTTAAAATGCTACCATCTTTCTGCCATAATTATCTTACCTCCAGCAGTACTGGAAGAATCTAACAAAGGATTCCTTCACTGATTTGGAGCAAAATCTGGTGTTTCAGTATAAATGGCTTCGGAATTATTAAGCTAAACTACCTGACAACAAAGATTAAGCTAAAGTACCTGACAACTTTTCTAAACTGACTTTGAAGTAACAAGTTCAAGATGGAGACATTCCCCTTTTTTGGGAGGGGGTATTTAACGTGGTATACAACTATTCCTACTCAGTGAAGGAAATTTTAGTACACCTCAAAGCAGCACTTTCACAATGCCACAGAATGGTGCAGAAATGCCATTAAAGCAACTTTTTTGGCTTGAGGCAGCATTATTAAAAAAATAAGCTAAAAAATAGACGGTCTTTCCAAACGCAGGGGGAAGAGAAGTCACCTTTCTGCCTGAGCACCACCCGGCCTCGCCGTGAGGCGACGAGGGGCAGGAGGGGAGCGGGAAACGCGGCGCCTCCCGCCTGGGCTTTCGGGCTCCATTTTGTGGGTCCCCCCCCAGCCTCCAGCGGGGACCTCGGCTCACCACAGCCCTCGGGCCGGCCTCTGGCGGGGAGTCCCCGCGCGTCCCCGTCAGGGTGAGCCGGACCCGGGCTCTGCGGGCCGCCTGCCCCCGGCGGATGAAGGCGGAGGGCGGCGCTGCGAGCCCCGGGGCGGCTCCCGCTGAGGTGGCCGCCCCGGGGAGCCCGGCAGCCGGCCCCATTTCCCCCCTCAGGCGGTGCCGCGGAGCCCAGCACGCCTCAGCCTCCTGCTCGCAGCGCCTCCGGGAGCCGGCGGCTGCCGTCGCCCTCCTGCCAAGGTAAAACCGGGGGGTGAGGGAGGCTCTGGCCCTAACGGAGCGGGGTGGGTGCGGTGCTGATGGACCAGTGATCTAAATACCCGTCCCCACAAGCTTGGGGTGTTGTTTCAACCCAGCGCGCACCGAAAAGGAAAGTTCCTGCATCTGTTCGATGTCGCGCTGGGAAGATGTACCTGGTAGGGGCTGCTGAGCCTTCCTTCCAGCCCGGTGCTGGAAATTTGGGTGCTGAAATACAGCCCTCGAGCAAAAGATGTGGGATGCCACCAGCCTGGGACAGGCGGCTTGGTTTGGCTTGCTGAGGTGCCTTCTGGCGCAGGTTTTGCTGATTCTGGGGCTGGCAGGGCTCTAGCTCGAGTCTTCCCCCTCATAACCTCTCTTTTCGGTTTTCTGGCAGTAATTTTTCCTCTTTGGTGCTAGTTCCCCTTTGTGAATTACATGAAATCCGTGTTTTCTCAGCTGCCCCTAAATAACTTCTAAACAGTACCTGTTTCACATAGGACTCCTGCAGCATCGCTGTCCATCGATTGCCCCGTAAATGTAGTGTTTTTGGGACTTTGGTTAGCACACCTGCTTCAGCACAGACACACACACAAACCCCAGTGTTTCAGAGGGCTGGCTATGCTACACGACCTGCTTCACCTGTATATAGCCTCCTACTCATTTGACTTCGCTAACTTTACTTTTTTTTTCCAGAAACTTTGTAAAGAATGTGAATCTAGGTTAAAGCTCTCTTTAATTTTTTTGCTGAACCTCTTGTTTTCACCTTTGGGCTTGCTAACAAGACTATTAGTTTAATTGTACCTCATGCTTTGTGCAAGGATTAAATGGAGACAATTTGGCTTGAAATATGGCTTACAAATGTCTTTGGGAGGTTTAATCACCAGAGCATTACAGATAGCTGAGTGATCCTTGAGTGATGTTCTCAGGGAATTTGGATCTATCTGGGAGAGTACGTAACTGGAGAAATGTACTGCCTCTGAAATGGTATTTTTAATCATTCCCTGCGTCTTCTTTTTCTTCTTTAAATATCCCCTGTGGGTACTATAGATACTTCTGGCATTTGGAGGCAAATATGACTGAAGCCTCAAAGTAATAATTGAATAAATCGTGTTTTAATTGTTCAAGTTGGAATTCATGATTATTTGGTTTGCTGTATCTTCAAGCAGAATATGATGCCTTTGAAGTGCTGATTTATATTGTTATCAAATGTTTATTCCAGTTTAATTTGTTTTTTTACAGATTAAAAGACTGATTCTTACTATAATTGAGCAGTGTGTACCAGATCACACGTTCATGCATCTGTGAATCGATATAGAGGCTTGGTCCTGAATAAAGCTTTAGAGACTAAGATATTTGGGAGTGCAGTAAGCTGCATAGATGGGCAGAAGTATGGACACAGGGGCCAGTTGGGTCTTGTAACCTCTTAATTGAGCACATGTGAACATGGCCTGAGATTTCTTAGGTAGCAATGAATTTCCCTAAAGCAGTAAAATGTTGTATTTGCTGTGTTTCATTTTTTTTCTGTTAGCAGAAAAGGAACTGCTGTCTTACAGCAGTGAGAGGAACAAGAAGTAGAAAGCCTTCCTTCTATTCTTCTGCAGTATGTAGCAAAGGGGGAGGTAGGGCTGGTGGAGGGATCAGCAGTTACGTCTGGCCCTACAAAATGTCTGAGAAAACCAGCAGCAAGGAGTGCTGCTGGGGCTGAGAGGAGAGAGAACCTGTCTGTCTGCAGATTCACAAACATCTGTCTTTCAAGGAGGAGATGTGTGAACATGGATTTTCTCGAAAGAACAGTTATGTTTCAGTGGGGGCTTTACAGGAATGTAGCCAAATTTGGTTTTACCGCGTATCACTCAGGACCCTGTCCTTTCTCGGTGTCTCTGCGAATGCAGGTGCTTTTCTTTCCCACAGACCTTTTTTTTTTTCCATCTTTCACTTCAGTGCGTCTTGATTTGTTTTGTTTTAGGCTCATCTGACTTGTTGTGATGACAGCTTCTCTTTGTCAGGTTTTGATTTGGAGCGAAAGTGAAAATCAGACCTTTTGTTTGCCTGCAACATTATAGAAGCTTTAGCTTGTTTCTTTTTGAAGGTTTCTAAGGATGATGACAACTTGCATCCATGCAGACCTCCCAAAACACGTGGACTTCAAGGCAGGATCCTCCTCGCTCAGCTTTAAACACGACCATTTCAGTTAGTCACCAGAGGTTCTTAGTCACCTTTGTCGTCAACAGAGAGATACTTATCAAACTGGTTCCACTGCCCAGTTTTAGACAGCTACTCATCATGCTCTATAAAATTGCCCTTCTTTCTCTTCATTGACTAAAAAGAAGAGTCTGGGATGAAGTCAGATGCAAATTTCACAGAAACTCTGCCATATGTCTCTTCATGATTAGGAATGACCCATGGTACAGTAAAATTGCTCTTGGAAATGAAAATGTTTTAGCCAGTTTTCCTTATCATCCAGCCTGTTGATTTGTGGCTACCCTAGATACTACCAGCTCAGCCGCCAGAGTAGAAGGTAGCAACTGCAATTTGAAGGAGACCAGGGTGCCTATGTCCTCCCTAAGTTTCTGTGGGAGACTTCTGAGCATCTGCATGAACATCTATTCCTCGCCACCCCTTAATATTAATTTATAGAATTGCTTCTGACCTGTGAATGAAAAGGAAACAGAAATAACTTAGATCTGACTTAGTACTTTAACATGGGAATTCACAAACCAGCTTGATAATGACTGTTGCAAAAGTGTAACTCTGTCATTAGTTTCAAAGCCTTTCTTCCAGTAAAGTGACCTTTTAGATCTGTGGCTAGCTAATTGTTATCATAACTTTTGCTAGCAGAAGTTATGTCAGACTGTCAGACTGAAGACAACACTTTTTTTTTTTTTTTTTTTTGTCAAGCATGGATCCAGTATTTCAAGAATTTGGCTTCAAATAAATCAGGGTCACAGTTATTAAAGTTAATAGGAGTATTTGGGGGAGTAGATGCATTATGAATCCTAGAAGAAAAAGGAGGTTCAGTAGATATGAACCCATTTTTCTGTGTTATTCTGTTTAGAAAATATTGTTTAGAAATGCCTAGAGACATTTCTGATAGCAGTTTTGCACTGAATGCATCTCCTCAGTGTATTTCCATTTTTACTTTCACTCTGTGTATTTGCTTGTAATCTAAAGCAGCGGATGTGAAAGCATGACTTGTAGCACTAGTATTAAAGGATGGAACTCCCTGTGTAGCTGCTATCAGCCGTGGGCAGACCCCATGTGGCTGACATCACCAACAACGGAAAGTTCTCAGTTGACCTCAGACAATCAAACTGATATCATAAAAAATTTGGTGAAAATTTTGTCATCCTACCCACTCATACCAGGAAGAGGGGGTTACACAGGGAATAAATCTGTTTTTAGCAGCACTGCTGGTCTATCAAGTATAGAAAGAACAGATAGAAGTCAAAATCACAGTGGCACTAACTGGATGCCTTTGCTATAATAAAAATTGCAAATGACCTTCTGAGTCTGCTGATATAGGCAAAATAACGTCTGCTAGGAGGCACCCCACCAAGAGAGCAGGCCAGCTCCTCGCAACTGGCCACCTCTTGGTTCCCTGCTGGCATCATGCAGACTCAAGAAGGATGCTTCATCCCAAAAACTCTTTTTGAAAGTTAATGTGTTATTTTCTCTGCTTGCAAATTTTAAAAAATGTAACTTAAAATAAATAGAAAGTAGTCATGTCTACATCACTGTTCTCTGTGCTTTTCAACAAAATCCTATATTTGGAAGACGTGCTGTACACATCACTTATCATGCCTGAGTTGGTGAGTTGACCCTGAGCAAGTGAGACTACATGTCAAAAACATTCCCAAATGCTCGCTGTGGTTACAACTTAGTTTTGGACTTTGCTGACCACATCTTCAAGACTTCGGGGCAGATGTTAGAGCATTAGAGAGCCAGTTGGTTTTGGTGTCAGCCCTAGGAGGAGATTCAGCATAAACTTTACTGCAGTTTTGTTCATGGTGGCTCTGATCTTCCATGCAATTCAGCAACGCCTTTCATATTTGCCACGTGACTGACCTCCTTTGTCTACCCTGTGCCGTGATGGAGGCGTTATCTCTGAGCAGATCAGTTGTTCCATCCCTCCTCCACGTGGTAAGAAAAAAAAGAGAAGAAGGCGGTAGCATTTCCTTTTTGTGGAAAACCATACAGAAATGGAAGAAATACGCTGGGAATGTCACAAGATTCTTCTCATCCTGCCCCGTTTTCTTCCCGTAACTGTTTCCTTTGTGTGGTTCAGGGCTTGCCGGGCTGTGGCGATACAGCATCCCATCTGTGGTGACCCCAGGCTTTCATCTTCCTTACAAATCTTCATCTGAAACTCATTGCTTATTGCTGTTTCTGCTTGCTGTGCACTATACAGACTGAAGGAACCAGCTCTTTTTAGGTGCAAAGTAACAGGCCTTGAAATTAACTCTTCAATCAGCAGTAACCATGTAAAAGGTTTAAAAATGTCTTCACTTAATTTTTACACTACTCACTGTGGTACCAAGCACTGCGCTTAGGTGAAATACTAGAAATTCAGGTAAAACATTACTTGATTTGTTTGATTTTAATACACAAGCTGTGTACGAAACAAACACGTGGGTTCAAACACATTTTACAGGTTTGTTTTTACCCTTTTTCTCCGCTCTTATCTGTTAGAACGTTTTATGGTAATGTCTTTTTGTCTTTCAGTCTTCCTTTCCCATGCCACGTGTGCCCTCCCCTAAATATTTCTGGCCATAATAAGAATGTGTGATTACAAGAGATAAGATAGCTCTAATGGCACACTGA